ACTTGATCAGTAAATAAATAGTTAAAAAGAGTGGGGCGGGGATACATAGACCGGCCGATGGAACAGTTGATGGTGGGGGAGGGAACAAGTTGTATAAGGAGAGAGGTTTAAGGGCTCCTTCACACTTGACTTTATTTCTAACTCTTGCCAAATGGCCCTTTTCAATACCGGGCAATTTTACACCTTCCTGCCCAGGCCAGTTTTCACGTTTCAGCGCTCTCACACTTTGAATGACAATTGCGCGGTCATACAACATTGTACCCAAACTAAAATTTTATTATTTTCTTCACACAACTAGAGCTTTCTTTTGGTGGTATTTAATCACCGCTTGGGTTTTTATTTTTTGCTAAATTAACAAAAAAAGACCAAAAATTTTGAAAAAAAACAAGTTTTTCTTTGTTTCTGTTATAAAAGTTTACAAATAAATAATTGTTCTTCATAAATTTAGGCCAAGATGTATTCTGCTACATGTCTTTGGTGAAAATAACCCAAATTAGGATGTATTATTTAGTTTGTAGGAAAGTTATAGAGTTCACAAACTATGGTATAGATCTGAAAATTGATCAATCCTGAAGTACTGACAGCCAATCTAATTTCTTGAGGTCCAAGAATGTCAGAATAGTACAGATATCCCCCAAATGACCCCTTTTTGCAGAGCAGACAGTCGGACGTACTTCATAAGAGGAATGGCGAGTTTTTTGAAGTTGTATTTTTTTTGTCATAATTTTTCAGAAAATGAAAAAATTAAAAAAATTATTTTCACTATTTTTTTTTTTTTACATACTGTCACCAGTGCAGTACAGCATCATAATATAACTGGCATGGCGGTGAACAGGGACACTGACTGGTGACAGTATGAAAAAAAAAAAAAATATATATATATATTTTTTATTATTATTTTAATTTTTTATTACATTTTTTTTTTTTAAGATTTTTTTTTTTCATATTTTACTATGACCAAAGTAGTACAATGTTACCATAGTAACATTGTACTACTTTGGGGAAGTGATCAGTATTTTTTTTTTGTTTTTACTACACAATTTGCTTATAGCAAAGAATTACTTTGCTATAAGCAAGCATTTACCTGAATGAAATCGATTCATTCAGGCTTTTTTTTTTTTTTTTTTTGTGCTGAGCTGTGATTTGGCCACAGCTAATCACATGACATGTGCATGTGACCTGCTGTGACCATTCACAGCTAGGCACTAGTATACAATGGATGGCATGAATGAAGCCATCCATTGTATACAACTGTCATGTGACCTGCTGTGATTGGTCACAGCAGGTCACATGGTACCGGCAACGGGGGCCGGTACTCAGATCTGTCATCGGCCGTGTCCGAGGTACACGGCCGGTGACAGATCACGCCGCTGCGTGGCTCTGCAACCGCGCGAACTGCGCATGTGCAGGAGCACGACAAATGGCGTGCACCTGGAAAGGTAAAGCGTTTTTGAGGCCGCCAAACGGCTATAGGCCGGGCGGCTAATGGTTAATGCTCCTCAAATGCTCCAGAAACACCCTATGTGCGGTTTTGAGGCATGTGATAAGCATTTACCAAACGTTTAAAACTGCGCCACAAATGCCTGTAATGATGTTAAATGGTATTAACGCTCCGAAAATGCCTCGCTACCACACCGCAAACGGCTGCCAGGCATTTGAGGAGCAGCACCATAGACTTGAATGAGAGGCTTCAACTCCTGACTCGACATGAGGCGCCAGTTTTGCCATGACGCAATGCTAACGCTTCAGTGTGAACAGCGCTGTGTGCTGCCATGTGCAGAATTTTCATACACTTCCCAAACGCCTGTCTGACGCCTGCTGACAAAGCTAGTGTGAACGTAGCCTTAGAGAAGATAAAGTTGTAATGAAATATACTAATAAATGTACTTTTTGTGATAAATTTACCAATAATCCCAATCTATCTCAAAATTTCAATAAACCTACATAATCCAAAAGGTGATGATCAAATCTGAATTAAAATAATAATAAATCTCCCTCTAATATATATTCAAAATCATCAAATATACCAATCAAAATTACAAAAATAAAATAAAATAAAATGTATATAAAAGTGTCCAAATCACCAAAAATTAATAATAATAATAATAAGTGTCCAAATCGCCAAAAAGGTATGTAATATAAATAAATAAATGTCCAAAAATCCCAAGAAAACAAAAACGTTCTTTATGTGTTCAGTGAAGCAAGACGATACTCCAAAAATGCCTTGTTATCCTCAAAAGTAAAAAGAAAAATATATCATAGTGTAATATCCTCAAACATATATATATGCTTCACACTGTGCAAAACTCAAATCACACCAAAAAAATAGTGAAAAATCAATAAATCAAAATAAACGTGAGAACTCGTGATCACTCCAATCTCAGGTGAATAGTGATACTAGGTACCAATATCCTATATACTCCAGCCAAAGTAGATGCTAAATACCAATGGTATTTAGCATCTACTTTGGCTGGAGTATATAGGATATTGGTACCTAGTATCACTATTCACCTGAGATTGGAGTGATCACGAGTTCTCACGTTTATTTTGATTTATTGATTTTTCACTATTTTTTGGTGTGATTTGAGTTTTGCACAGTGTGAAGCATATATATATGTTTGAGGATATTACACTATGATATATTTTTCTTTTTACTTTTGAGGATAACAAGGCATTTTTGGAGTATCGTCTTGCTTCACTGAACACATAAAGAACGTTTTTGTTTTCTTGGGATTTTTGGACATTTATTTATTTATATTACATACCTTTTTGGCGATTTGGACACTTATTATTATTATTATTAATTTTTGGTGATTTGGACACTTTTATATACATTTTATTTTATTTTATTTTTGTAATTTTGATTGGTATATTTGATGATTTTGAATATATATTAGAGGGAGATTTATTATTATTTTAATTCAGATTTGATCATCACCTTTTGGATTATGTGGGTTTATTGAAATTTTGAGATAGATTGGGATTATTGGTAAATTTATCACAAAAAGTACATTTATTAGTTTATTCACTTCCTAGGGAGGAGGTAGTGTTTTGTGGCTGTATAGGAGCTTTTTGATTGATTGTAATGAAATATAAACAGAAGGAAAATTGAAAGTTTCAAACTTGTCAGAAGAACAGGACATGGACGGTTTTGACTATCGTCCGATTTTCCCGGCAATGATGGGCAAATTGGCCGATCGTTTTAATGATAAAAATATGTGCATGAGCCGTGTCCTGCAAGAAGAAGAAAAGAAGAAGAAAAAGAAGAATTCCAGTCCGCTATTATATTTTACATGAAAAGTCTTGCGGTTGCAACAATGTATCTATTTGTATCCGAATAAAACCATCTGTATCCGAAATGGATACAAATGGATACATTGTTGCAACCGCAAGACTTTTCATGTAAAATATAATAGCGGAGCTCTCTGCAAGGGACAGAAGTAAAAATGCCGGCCGTAGACGGGACGAAAATCGGCCAATTTTTTTTTATTGAACGATCGATTTTTCCTTTTAAAAAAATGGCTGGTTTTTGACCCATCTATGGCCTGCATAAGACCAGAAACTCAGACATATACCAGGCCAATTAACCTAACAACATGTCTTTCGAGTGTTGGCAGAAACACACCCGTGCAGAGAAAGCATGCAAACTGAGATGCAGACAGGTGCAGCCATGACGGGGATTAAAACCCATGACCCATGTGCTGTAAGTTCTGAGTTCTAATCCCTAAGACAGTGAGGGAGACAGAGTTTGAGCTGCAATGTAGAATAGTTACATTGATTAAAAATAATGATAAAGTGTGCGCTGGCAAAATTATATAGACTTCTAAAATGGTATTACACAAGATAAATATAAACCTAGGTATAGATATGAAGGTAGCAGCTAGCACTCAGGGTATTGGCAACAGTCCCAGAATAGAAATATGTTACAGTAATAGTGTAGCGCTATAAATGCATGTTATCAATCATAAACGCGTGTAAAATAAAAAAAGTGCAAATAAGTGCAATAATTATGTAAACTGGTAAATGGTGCTAAAAAAGTTAATATAATCATTCCTGAATAATGGAATGTCCTTCGTGTGAGAGTACCAACTCAGAGAGTGCCTATGAATGGCACGTGTGGTATTTATTTGCACGTTTTTGATTTTACATGTGTTTATGATTGATAACATGCATTTATAGCGCTGCACCATTACTTTAACATAGAATAGTTACATGACTAAAGAGAAGGAAGATATATAATTATATTGAGAAATTAGAACTAGACATTCCCAATTATTTGAGATATAAGTTTGAAAATATTTGATATTTGAAAATAGAATGTATGACAATCATTAGGAAATGCATTAGTTGTCTGATCATTTTGGAGAAACAGCAACCAAAAAAAAAAAAAAAATATATATATAGGTGTACTTTTACTTTAAATTTTAAGTATTCTCATATGCAAACAGAAAAACGGCAACAAAGCCTGTGGTTGTGCGCCACCTAACGAACATATTTGCACCTAAAAATGTGCCAGACACGATTCCACATTTACTAACAGGAAAGAGTCTACAAGTAGACAATTTTCAATGAGTTTGCTAGACACCTTTCAGAAGACTGACAGGTCTAGATTGTTTGAATTGAGTCTACCTGAATGTTCAGCATCTACTGGTAGACTCAATTCTTAGTAAATCAGGGCCAATGAGTCTGTGATCTAGCAATATATAATCCAATCTTGAATATGGCTCATGTGCATGAGAATAAAATGTATAGTCTCTATTGTTCAAATTTTTAATTCTCCAACTATCTACCAACTGACACTGTTGTAATGTTTTCCTTAGTACTTTCAAATATTTATTCCCCTCTCTCAGCACATGTGACGTCATATCTAGAGATGAGCGAATTATTCAAAAATTCGATTCGACTGATTCGGCGAATTCGTGAAAAAATTTCGATTCGAGTCGAATATATTCGCTGCGAATTTAACTTATAAAAGGGTGTTTCTAGGCTTCAGAGAGCCTTTATATTAGTGCAGAACACTGTACCTTTAATTTAAATGCCCTTGGAGTCTGCTGGGGAAGAGAAATAATACTGTCAGTCAGTATGACATGCAGATGAGTGCCGTCGATCTTAGAATCACCGCACACTTCACTCATTTGGGCAGTCACGGGGCCAAAACCAGAGTGTGGAGCCACAGTGTGGCGGTGGAGGCAGCAGCAATGGGAGGCCATACAGCACCCTATGACAAAATGGAACCCACCAGCAGTGTGAGGAGACCTGAAAGTGGCACATGGCAGAGTGTGGCGATGGAGACAGCAGCAATGGGAGGCGGTACAGGGACCCATGACACACTCTGGACCTGGCAGCAGCATGAGGAGGTGGTACAGGGGCCCATGACAGATTACGGGCCTGGCAGCAGCATGAGGAGTTGGTACGGGGGCCCATGGCAGATTACGGGCCTGGCAGCAGCAATGGGAGGCCGTACAGGGACCCATGACACACTCTGGACCTGGCAGCAGCATGAGGAGGCGGTACAGGGGCCCATGACAGATTACGGGCCTGGCAGCAGCATGAGGAGTCGGTACGGGGCCCATGACACACTCTGGACCTGGCAGCAGCATGAGGAGGCGGTACAGGGGCGCATGACAGATTACGAGCCTGGCAGCAGAAACTTGGACAGGAGGACGACGTTCAGCTTCTGCACCGTCGGGTGCGTGCTCGCAAACTGTTGTCTCTTGGAAACGGATTCCAAGAAAGACTGCTGACGGAATCCGTGAAGAGGAGTAGCAGGAGAAGGAGCATCTGAACGAGCGGAATATGCCAACAAGCGACAACAGGGGCCCATGACAGATTACGGGCCTGGCAGCAGCATGAGGAGTCGGTACGGGGGCCCATGGCAGATTACGGGCCTGGCAGCAGCAATGGGAGGCCATACAGCACCCTATGACAAAATGGAAACCCACCAGCAGTGTGAGGAGACCTGAAAGTGGCACATGGCAGAGTGTGGCGATGGAGACAGCAGCAATGGGAGGCGGTACAGGGACCCATGAGACACTGCGGACCTGGCAGCAGCATGAGGAGGCGGTACAGGGGCCCATGGCAGATTAAGGCCTGGCAGCAGCAATGGGAGGCCCGTAATCTGCCAGCACCCTATGACAAAATGGAACCCTGGGCTGGGGCAGGCAGAACCGCCGTATCTTTATCACGGTTTTCCCAGGCCACCGAATGGCGACGCTGCATATGCTGACGCAACGCTGTAGTCCCAACATGGGCCCCCTGTCCACGCTTGACTTTCTGGCCACATAGTCGGCATACGGCTACGTTTACTTCCTCGGGCGGCTTGATGAAAAATTGCCACACCGCCGAGTAGGAAACTTTGCCCCCGCTACTCCTCACTGGCTGACTGCTACTTCCTCTGTGCACACCGGCACCACTACTGGTCGTGGTGGTAGGCTGCAGTGGA